ATGCTAAAGCCACAGACTTAATGAAATCAGGAAAAGACTCTGCCTATATATCTATAAGTATATGCACATAAGAACAAAGAGCTCTCTATATGTCTTCTTCTTTCGTGTAACCACATATATATGCACACATATGTGTATACAATTTTATATATGTATAGACCAATGTGAAAACACATATTACATATATTTAGTAGTATATAAAATCGTATGTTCCTCTTCTTTGTCTTTTCTCCTTTTATCATTTAGAGATGAAAACTCAATACTGCAGGGTCTTTAAGCAAATGATCAACTCAGGTTTCACTTTTTTTTCTTGGTTTTGGGGTTTTTAACAGATTCTGTTAGCCAATGCCAAATATATGCGAATTGGAATAACTTTATAATTAAATAAATTGCAATGCTTGTAATCTATACAATAAGTCATGTTTTCCAGTCTGTGGTGCCCTTTCAATTCTCTGCATGATATTCCTGTCTAAAAGGCACTAATAGAGACATTCTGATCTTGAAAAGAAAAGTGAGGAAAATCAACATCTAAAACTCAACAAAGTCCTGGGTAGTAAAAGGTCTTTGTTCTGCAGAGTGTTCTCCCACAGAGGAACAGAATTTTCTTTTAGCTTTTACATTTGACTCCCAGGCTCTGAAATATAATAATCAAAGCTCTTTGCTACCTTATGCTGAATCTCCTGTACATGAAATCTTTTTATTTAGCAAGAAATGGAATTCTTGCCCCCAAATAATTTTATGAAAGCTTGAACATTTGCCAGTTAAAAATATCTTTTTTATTATGATGTTACAAGAAACTGCTGGTGGGCTACTGGGATAATTAGAGAAGACGAGAGGATATTTAATAAGTTTTCCAGGGTGCATTTGAGAATGTAACATAGATTATCATGTGCTCCTGATAATTTTATCTTTCTCTCTCTAGATGGCAAGATACCCTGTTGTTGTAATGCTTAAATTAGAGATCCAAGACAATTTTGAAACCTAGAAAAGTCTAACATTTTTCATGCATGTTTGTAAGGACAGGTGAAGCTTGATTCTCTGTCAGCTACTCTGGGCCTCATATTCAGCTCCATGGACAGATCAGTATAAACAAATCGATAGCACATCTTACTGGAAGATGCATTTTGCCTTTTCAGGGAATGAAAATAACCTTATAGTTAAATGAAAAGAAGAAACATAGCAATGCTCTTGGAAATTGTTCTGCATTCATTGTGCACCTTGATGTCTGCCCCTGCTTCTGTGAGGATGGGGGCAGGCATTTCAAGCTAGGTCACACAGGCTACATCCTGCTCCTGTAGATTTTTGAACAACTCAAACAAGACTGAAAAAAGTGATGCTCTCCAGCAAAGGCTTCCACAAAAATTCTACCGAATGAACTCTAGGGGGAGATGATGAGCTAGAAGCAAAGCAATAGAAATGCCACTACGAGATTGGTGGTGTCCCCACCCTGCCAATGGAAGAAAGAAGCAATGGAGAAAGAGGACTTAATTACTTGCTTGGTGATAACGATATTAGGGCAAAAGTAAAAGTACTGTCATTCAAGAAGTGGTCTGTCAAGGAACCTGCTCTCTGGAGGATTGATAAATCTATGTGGAATTTCAGTCAACGGGTAACCAGAACAGAATGAGAAAGGCTAATAGGAGGTAAAGAAAGAAATGTGTGCACACTCTTGTGATCAATTCCTTGAAGTTCAGATCACACTCTTGTGATCAATTGCTTCAAAAATAGCCGCCCAGGTAAAGTTGCAGTGTCAATATCCACAAGCTCTAATAGCCTCAACAAGTGTGGAAATCACACAAGCATCACTTGTGAACAGGTGGCATCTCTAAGAGTTGGATGTCTTAGACCAAGGGTCAGCCAACCACATTCCACAGGCCAAATCTAGTCATTTGGCTAAGTCTGTTTTTGTAAATAATGTTTTAAAGGAACATAGTCCCACTCATTATTTCTCCATTGTCTATGGCGTTATGCAGAGTGTTGCTCACTTTTGAAGTCTACTATTAGGAATATAAGGGCAGAGTTGAGTAATTGTGACAGAGACTTTATGGCCTGCAAATCCTAAAATATTTAGTATCCGGCTGTTTACAGAAAAACCTTTCAGATGACTCCTTGGTGGTCATAAGGAGCCTATGTTCTCTGTTGTGTCAGGTAAGTTCTACAGCAACTCCACAGCAGGTTGGCCTGTAATACTGTAACATGTCATTGTCACGTGGTAGGGAAAGACTTCATGAAATACCCCACAAATTACTCAACTTAGTTTTGTGTCTTTCATGTAAATTCCAGATTCATTCAGCTTTGGGAACTCCTTTTACAATTTGACAGCCACTATGCTACTTCTCAAAGAGAAGAGTTCTTTTTGTTTGTTTGCTTGCTTATTTACTGTAAGGAAGATTTCATAATCCTCCTGCCCCAAATATAATTTTGGCTGAGCCTGCTTGGTGATAGGAACTCACAGCAGTGCATTCACTTATACCTCATCCATCCTAATGGATTTCATCCATTAGGGCTCCAGAGTAAATGAGAACAGAATAATTGCTGAACCTAGGCTTATATAGCTCAATGGCGGCTCAGGAATTCTGTTTCAGAGTGGAATCGTTGGAAGGTCTTGTTTTAAAACTGCATTTGCATAGGAAGTACACTGCTTGTCCTTTTATTCAATAACATACTTCAACACATTTAAATCATTTTTACTTTGAAAATTACTCTTATTTACATTCTAGCTACAATTTTTATTATCAAATTTTTAATAGAAGTGACTTTGGTATTGGTGGAGATTATGAAGGAGTTAAATATATACTAAACCACCTCCTGGAAATACCCTTGTGCTAATTATACACAACTTGGAACTGCCTCAACCATTCTCTTCTACTATCCTGCATGGAACTGCACTTACCCCAATTCAGGACATTTTGAGGGAATGTAACAAAGCCACTTGACAGCAATTTATATCTGTAGGCCAATTCACAGTTTTCAAAGTACTTACATATACATTAGTCAATTAACTGCCCACATGCTGCAACAGATAAGACAGCAAGTGTTAATGTTTATTCCATCTAATATGTGAGAGATCAGAGATTCAGAGCAGTTACATAAATTCCCTAAGAAAAAGGATAGCAGAAATCTTAAACAAGCTCTTCTGACTTGAAATCTTGTCTTCTGTTTGAGGCTAAAAGCAAGACTTACATGGTTTACAAGTGTGTGTGTTTGTTTTTTTACTGTCCAAGAAAAAAGTTAGGGTGAGATTCCTTCAAACCTAATTTTTGATATTTAAAAGGGAAGAGAACTGTATTAGAAATCCCTCACTCTACTCTATAGCCTGAGTCTGGTTGTCTTGAACCTGGTTCTACTTTGAGGATCAGAAGCTAATTATTCATTGTTTTTTGCTCTTTGCAACAAATCTTAGTCCCCTCCCATCCTCTCCATCATTACACCACTCCAGCAGATGGATACTTTGGGTTAATTAACCTGACTGTCTGAAATCAGAAAGGTAAAGAGAAAGCAATTTGTTTCCTGGTGAAACTACTGCTTTCTGAGCTCTTTCATCTCTCCTGTGCTCTACCTGAAACATGCATCCAGAAACCTCCTGTCCCAATGGAAACCAATGGCTCCTCACCTCTAAGATATTGCTTGTTTATCCTGTGACAAGTCTAGCCTCCAAGCAGTGAGACCCAGGTGCCTGAGCTAGAATACCACCAGCATTTGCAGCACTGCTCCCCATGGCTGCAGGTGACTTCTGGAGGTGATGGGAAAGATAGGGGTTAGACACCACTAGCTTCTACTACAGCATATAGTACTTCAGTCAAGGAATTTATGTGTGGCAAAGTAGACAAGCAAGCGAAGTACTAGACTATTCAAAATGAATAAATACATACACCACTTCATCTTTCTGTGTCTGGACGCTTTTCCTCAGTGACCTGCTAGATTTCTTAGTCCCTTGAAGACTGTAAGTAGATTTTTCTTTTCCTGTTCTCTCTAGTGTTTCAGGGACTACCATGTTGATCCAAAGCCTAGAAGTTAGCATCCTGCTGATCACGTATTCATCAAAAGTCTTACCCTTCCCTGTCTCAGGTAATTGATGGGCAATAACTAACTTCAAGTAAAGTAGAGGAAACCTTAGCTTTTAAATGTGACAAAGTCAGGAGACGCTGTTCTCTATCTTTCCTTCCCTTCTCATCTAAGGTCATATATATCCAAACACATCTATATATATACTTAGATAAGGGAAAGTAAAATAATAATTACTACCGTTTAAAGTAAATGTACCTCTCTTTTACTCCAATGTGGGAAAATAGAGCAAGTTAATTTCCATTTTTTTCTTCTCACATTTTAAAACAGGATTTGTGCAGTATTTAAGCCAAATGGATAAACAAATAAATTGACTAGAGAGAGGGTGTGCAGGACAAATATTTTGCAAGTTTAAAAAATTTTTCTAATGTCATAATAACTCTCCCCAAACACCTTTTTGTGCATCTTTACGTGTGCTTACAAATTTCACATTCCCCTCCACTGTGTGTAAGATGGTGGGGTAAAGTCCACAGTGACAGAGGGAGAGAATTTGAAGATCTTAGTAACTCAACTCATTTGGGCATGATACTATAGATCGATAGTCAAGAGATCCAGATTTTACTTTGCCCTTTACTGAGCTGAATACAGATGGGAAACTTCCCTCAACACTGCAGGTATTCATTTCCTCTTTTATGAAACAAAAGGCCTTGATAATATTTTAAAATTATATTATTTTTGTTTTTAATAGTATTTTTAAGGTCTCTTCCAGATCTCTGAGGTGTTGTCCAAGTCAGAGATTCCCATGAACAGCATCCTATCCCTCTATTTCCTCTTTCCTCCTTTATCTTCTCGCCCTTCAGAAGGGCTAGTTCACTGGCTGGGTTTCTATTTAGGTCTGTGAATAACAGAAAGCCTGGAAAAGTGCTCAGTATTTTCGTTCATGATGAAGGCTTATTTAGTTCTTCTCTTTCTTCATCTGTTGCCTGTATCCATAGTGGAATATGGTTACTGTACTTCCAGAATTCAGATCGGTGTTTCAAGCCCTCAGAAGGAAGCAGGAGAAAAAAGAGCAGATGTCTACTCAGGAGACAGCGACGTAAGCTTTCCTCTCATTGACCAGAATTAGATCTCAAGGACCTTTCCAACCTGGTGAGCTGCATGAGCACAAGGAAGTCAAGTGATCGGTTTTCTATCCCTCTGGCTTCAGAAGTCAAGGGGGAAAGGAAGTGTGAAAGGTATGAGAGTGAACTAATCTTCAGTATCTGCCATCGTTGATGTTTTGGAAAAGGTGACATCTTAGGAGGAAGATATTATTGGAGAAGCAGTGAAAAAAGTTCTTGTCTTTTAAACTTATCTTGTCTTTCTTAATGAAAGTTTTCTAGAAAAGGAATGCATTATAGAAGAGCACCAATTGTAGATAATTCATCTAAATGATAAATTCAGGATAAAGGGCAGTTTTATGTTGCCAGTAGAAGTCTCATGATTGGATAGACTAGATAATAATCTCTAAAATGTATTTTTATTAGAACAGTATTATCTTAGCAGATTGATGAATCCACCCACTTCCAAATGTTCTAATAATTATTGGGCACTTAGAAATAAAATAACAATGAATTCCAACTCTTCCCTGATTATCAAACTTATTCAGATCTATTTAGAGATACAATGTAGCACAATATTATTAACATTATTACTATTAGTCAACCTTCATCTGTAAATGATGTGACCTTTAACTGTTGAAGTGAATATTTTTTACCAGTTATAATAGTAGATGATGGTTGTTTGAATTAAAATGATTTATACATTTATTTTAAAAATATATGATTTATGTCTAAGGGTGACTTTTTAAAAAGTGGAACAAAATTCTGTATTAGTCTTACAACTATTATTGGTTAAAATGTTGCTGTGAAATTTAAAATGTGTGAATTTCTATTTCTCAGAGAGCTACTTCCTGCATGTTTTATTTTTCCTTCAGATATTGGGTCCTGCATGATAAAAGGATGATTGGTGTTCTGGCATTTATAGTGCATTTGAACATAGACTCTGCTTAATTCTTCTCCTTGCATCCTGAATCAGTCAAATCTTCAAATTCTGAGTAGGGGGGAAAAAAGTTTATGTTGGAGAATCTGAATATTTCCTCAGTGGAAAAGGATTATGGGTTATTCTGAGATGAAGAAAACAAATGTCGTGAAAAGCAGCACAGTCAACTTGTTGGCCTTTCAAAAGTTGTAAATATTTAGCTAAAAGGAAGTCATAGACCTTAAAGTGTCCCTACTTTAGTTCAGAAATAAATATGGAAAACAGTAGAAGCTATGCAAGCTGTGGTATTTGTTAAAACGTGGCAACAAGTACAATGCCGTGATTTCTAAATAGCTGAAATCAATCAAGGAAGTGAAATGTGAAGTTTGACATTTTTAATAAATTACACTATTTACCTTAATGCAAGTGACATAATTGAGGTAAATTAAATAGAGGAAAGGAATAACTGAGCTGTAGCTAAATCATGTTTTAGTCAGTGCTCAAAGTTTGCTTTAAAATGTATTTAGAATTTTTAAAGTTCTGGAATTATAGAAGTTGGATTCTTTGTATAGCAGAGCTGCCAAGCTAATGAATTATGAAATTATTTCATAAATCAGTATTCCCAGGACAATAACAAAAAGAGTATGTACTTTTAGATGGATAATATTAACACATCAAAATAGTTATTATTGTGGACAGAATTATCTGGAAAAATTTACTATAGGCTGGAATTCTGAAAATAGAGTGTATAATATGTTTTCTTGATGCTAAAACTTTCCTAAAATTTTATTCAAGACTCTACTACTGCCATTATTGTAGTCAAGCTTATTAAAAGGTAGAGGAAGAATGTGAAATGTGTTTTAAAATGGACAGTTTTTGGTACAAACAGCTCTTAAATTTTTTTTTAGTGTACACTTAAAAGATATCATAAAACCTACACTTAGATATCAAAGAACAAATAAAACAACATTTCTATGGGGGTAAAGATAATTATTTAATTGCTTTCTTATATGTAACTCAATATTTTTTAAAGTTTGGTGTTTACATTTCAGTCACTGTCTAAGAATAGCAATGTATGTCAGGGGTATAACCTAAAATATTAAAAATATACATATTTTAGAATAGTCAAAGTTTGCTTTCATGATTAAAAAACTGTTCTATTGAAGAAAAGTTGAACTTTATCGTACAATTTAATTTTTATTATAGTATTCTTTTCATCTTTTTAACTATGATAATTTGCTCACTTAATTCTCTTAGCCATGGTTAATCATAACATCTTAAAGATTTAAAGTGTTTTATAGTTTTTCATACACAGTATAACATTGGATTGCTCTATAGCAGTTTCATTCATTAGGTCAATCAAAATGCATCTTTATTTTTTAAATGGTAAAAACACAGTGCAGGATTTTTCAAGGTTCTGTACCAACTAAATGATGGAACCAGGATTCAAACCCCAGGTTTTCTCTTCCTTGCCTTGTGTTTTGAATTCTTTGAGTACCAAGCCAACAGACATAACATTCAACACCACATTAGCAATAATGATAATAACATTTCCATTTTATTAGGTGTTTAACTTTGTACCAAGCACACTGTGAAAGTTATCAAGATAAAATTTATCTTTTTTACGGTGAAAATGAATTCTTATTAAAAATCCAGCTAAAGTTTTACCTAGTATATGACTTAAGCTTCAATGGAAACTGTTTCTGTCTGTAAATTATGAGCTGTTATCTGCCTATGGTAAAAATAATGCTTGAATCATAGGTGATTAAAAAGAATCTTTTAAGTAGCTGAACATCTCACTGAGCAGATTAATTTTTATATAGGACAAAACAAAAATTATCAGCTATAAATGTCCTCATCTTCTCCCTTTTCTGTAGAGGACAAAGTATACAGGATAATGACAATATTTGTGGGTGGACCCTCTTTAGGAAACAAGTGGGGTCTAATTGCACTGGGAGTTTTGGAGCTACCTGGTCCTGCCCTACCCTGGGATACCAGATGTGAAGGTCTGGGGTCTTGCAGACACTGCCAGGTTAGAGGCAAAATGGAGTTGGAAAGAAGGAGGAATTTTTGGTGAGGGCACACTATGAGAAATTTCAAGTCTTTTTGGAAAGAGGTACTAGATATGCTACAGTAATTAGGATAGTGAAAAGCAAAAGAAAGTTTTTTTAATTTCATCAGAAAATAACTATGGTCTTTATAGTCCTTATATAACTTTAATTGTGTTTAAGTTATTTCCTGGTAGCTAGCTACATTTCTTTGTTTTAATAAGCATTGCATGCATTAATACATAAAATAATTAAAAACATATTAGATACGTAATCCAAAAATTGTCAATTAATGGCTTATTTGAAGCAGGCAAAAATCTCATGATTCTTTCCTAAAGTTATCTTCTAGAATATATATTTAGTTTTCAATAAAATAATTTAATATCAGAACATGCTGCAAGAGACATTCACATTTGAGCAAGTAAATTCTATGAGATATTTTTTTCATTTTGAACTGTGATTACATAATTATTTTCTCTAAATTATTCAATTAAATTTAAATGTATTAGTATTTATGGGACAGTATTCAATTACTGACTATGAACGTACAGCAAAGACTGCTCTTTTAACAACCCCCCACCGTTACTCATTATATATGTACATAACTTAATCTCATATATCTACCAGGCACATATATATATATATATATATATATATATGTAATAGCACATAGGTCATATAGGTAACTTGATCAATAAAGACATCAAAACGAAGATGCGAGGTTGAAGTGCTTCTTCTTCGGCTTTGCACATAATTAAAATGCTAAAATCATTGAATTACTTAAATCAGGTATCATTTATGTTCTGTGTGACTAGTCCATCATAAAATTTAGCTATATAAGTTTGATGTGAGGGGAAAAAAGGTAAAATTTCCCAATGCATGTGAAAAATGTTACCTACATTTTATGGAACAAAGGTTCAAATTTATTTATCTCATTATAAACATTTTTAATATTGTGTTGAGACATATGTTTCAAGACATGCATGTTAGGCTGCATATTTTGACAAATATTATAATAAATATAACTAAAAATATTAAAAAATAAAATTAAAATCTTTAAATGATTTAGCAGTAGATGTTTAATGTCAATGTAATTGCAATGAAAAACTCATAGTTTGCTAGAGAAACTTAGCAGGCTCATTCTATAATTTATTTAGAAAAGAAGATGGCAAAAGTTGTTAAAATATAGTGCTAGAAATTTCTATATCAAAATTATATGATGTGACAGCAATTTATTAATAAAATAGGAATTAAAATTCTGTGATAACAATAGTGAAATAGATAAATAGATCTGTGAAACAGAATAGAAAGTTTCAGAATAGAAAGTTCAGTTCTACAAGTATTTGGAAATTAGTGTATGATAGAACTAACATTACCAATAAGCAATTAATTTTTTCAATAAATTTAGCTTGTACAATTGGTTAAAAACAGAAAAACATAAAGAAACTTATATCTCTACATCATTTCACAACCAAAATGCCATTGTAGTGGTTTCAAATTTAAATAGGAAACATTTTTATTTGTGGAAAACCATATGTGAATTTCTTTTTGAACATAGACAGGAAATAATACCTTACATAAATTGAAAACCTAAGTTAATAAAATTATTATGAAAATAAGCATAAATATGATTATACTAAAATTATTCATAAATAAGTTTGATAAATAAAACAAACTCCATATATGAAATATACATATTTGATGCATAACTAGCATTCAGAATACAATTCTTAAAAAGCAATATGAGCCGGGCTCGGTGGCAGCCTGTAATCCCGCGCCTTGGGAGGCTGAGGTGAGTGGATTGCCTGAGCCCGCGGGTCCGAGACCCGCCTGGGCGGCAACATCTCATCTCTACAATAAATAAGTAAATTAAAAAAAAAAAACAGCCGGGCATGGTAGCGCATGCCTGTAATTCCGGCTACTTGGAGGGCTGAGGCGGAAGGTCGAGGCTGCGGTGGCCGGGAGCGGCCACTGCACTCCAGTCTGGGCGACAGAGTGAGATTCCAACTCAAAAAAAAAAAAAAGCAATATGAAAAGATTAAGCAGGTATCCTTTTTGT